ATTTTGCTCTTTCTCTTTTATAGTCGATGGTTTACTTTCCTGATTTTAAAACAGAAAAAGCTTTACTAACAAAAAATAAAATGAAAAGCAAATACCATGAAAATACTCAGAGAAATTACATCAATGATATTAATATTAATAATATACAATATTAATAAAACAACAATTAAACTATTTTAAATATATAATATTTATAAATAATAATAATAATTATTTAATTGCTGCCATTTCAGGTCAGTTTCCCTTAATACTAGATATTGCTGACTTCAACTAAACTTTAAGCTATAATTGTTCACACGTAAGTACATCCTTGATAGGGTGGGGATGGTGGCCAGGGTTGGAACAGAGTTGGAATTGTTTGTGAATTGCATACAGGGACTTACTTCACTTTTAACTGTTTGCTTTTGCAAGGATAGCAGTCCAGTTGTGTTACTGAATTAATATTTATAACCATTTTTTAAAATGTTCTGATCTGGGAAATCATCATTGCATATTTTTAGATCAGATTTCTGAGTAAAGAAAGTAGTGGTTTGCTATGTGCAAATAAAATGATGTTACTATTTTCAACTGCCCCTACTTGCAGTGGAGAAAGTTCGTTCAGCAAGCAAAAGGAAAAATTCGAGCTTTCATAGCGAATGCTGTTTTTAGCCTGCTTCGATCTTTGAACTAAGATTATACTCAACCACTCTTTCTCATTGCACAAGCAGACCCTGGAAACCAGTACACTAAAATTAGGAGGCATGTTTGCATTTTCAACCTCTCCAAGCTCAGCACTGCAAATAGTTCCTTCCAGCTATGTCATTATTGTACAACATAGGCTTTGGGTTTTTTTAGAAAGCAAATGTCATTACTTACATCCCTTCCACATTGCTTTAAAAAAATACCTGCTTTGTTTGGCAAAATGAGTGTGAGGACTGAAGCTGCCCTTACTGCAGTGTCCTTGCTGACCCCATAAGCATAGGAGCCTGGATTTGTTGCAGGCGCTTTGGCAGCCAATGGTTCATCTCAAGGGAAGGTGAGAATGCAAAGCTGTGACTTTTCTGTTTTCAGGAGATGGAGAAGGGATTACTAGAATACTAAGTTCTATGGTGTATCATTCTCATGGTACCTGGGAAGCTGTACACCTAAGAGGAATGACGAAGATTTTGCGTAGACCTCCTCGTGAGCACAGATGAGATGCTGTATTTTAAGGCACAGTGATAGAAACTCTCTATTTTTTTTGTTCGTTTGTTTTTTGTTGTTGTTTGGTTCTTTTCATTCTGAAAGCTTCTAACTTAAGTTCATTACCTCTCTACCATTTCAGTGCTTCATATATCTGGAATTGTTCCTCACAACTTTTGCCTAAAACAACCAAGAAACCTAACCTTGCTCTAATAAGAGCAGACAATCAAAAACCCAGTGAATCTTTTTTGACTGGAATTAGGCAGTCCAGCCTTTAATTGCGTACAACCTAAACACTGTTACTGCCCTAAAACTTAACTGCTGCAGTTAATCCTCGCTGGCACTACACCACATTTGGAATGGGTGTCCTGTGGGGTACAGGCTCTGATCAGGGTCACGTGTACAAGACATTCATCACAAAGCACTTAGCAGGTGCGGTGTTTTGAATAGAGACTAAAGGTTGGCTTAAGGGCAGAAAATTAAATAAGGATTGTTCTGGGTGAGGTAGGAGACCTGTTTACATTATGTAGGAGTTTTTTATTTCGGGGTTTGGTGTGAGAGGTTTTTTGTTTATTTTAGTTTGGTTTTTTAAGTGTTTTGTTTGTTTGCTTTGAGAGAGAGAAAGAAAATGTTTTATTGTTAACTTGCCAATGAGCAAAACTTCGAGGAACCGACCCCAGTTTCTCCACTTTGCCACCAGATGTCCGTCATGAGCAGAGAAAACTGATGACCTGAGCGATATCCAGAAGCCTGGATTCGCAGCATTTTTGAAGATATGACGGTGAAAGTTCGAGGGAAATTACATGTTATCATTGAGTTTTGGATAGCAAATACACTACAGAGGCTTCTTGGCAAGCAAAAATTCCTGCCAGTAGTGCTATATGTTTAACTAACTATTAAAACATGTCTCAGCCTGCAGCAGTTGTCAAGTACACACCCTTTCTTTGCACTTCTCCAGAGAATTAGGCATGCATTTCTCATCCAAAATCTTAAAATCCTTTGGAGAAACTTGTCCTTCCAGATGGCAGGAATATCCGAAAGCTGTCACTGCAGGTGATCTCTGTAGGAAGACTTAGTTCTTTTCACCCTCAGCCAGCTGCTGAGATGATGCTATAACTTTCCTAGGTCTGATAATGTTAGCTGAATCCCATAGTGAAGCATTCACATTTACAGGCAAGAGGCATTTCCAAGCATAAGTAAGGTACAACTCTAGGAGGTACTGCTAAAAAACAAACAAACAAACAAACCTCCTCAAAAAACACCACAATGTGAAAGACTTGAATTAAACTTAACAAAAGGTGCAATGACTTAATAAGCAGGGTGTTAGCTTTCTAGCTACACAAGGGAACTTACCTCAAGAATAAGGTAACTTAACAGGAAGTACTGGAAGGTTTGTTGTGTGTCCCTGTATGCAGACTGCATCAAAATCGTGTGCCTGAATGCTGCCAACTGTTATCACGGCTGCTGTTTATTGCAGTAGTCCCTATGCACATGGCAATACTTCAAATATTTTTCTTTCAGATTAAAAATGTAAGGGTGATACACACTTGAGCCATCGGAGAAGCAGGAACACCCAAGAGCTGCCCTGGATTTTAACACTGTCTATTGCTGGATGTGCACCATCTCTTCAAGAGGAGCAGGGGACACTTTGGATGGAAGGCTTCGATCCTCAGCAATAACCGTACAATGGGGCACTTTCCTCTCTTGTTGTCCAAACAGGAAGCGGAGGCTACAAAGCTCTTCTGGAGACAGATACGTGAACTACAGCCCAACAGGCTCAGAGACTGGGAAGCGAATGGCTGTGAGAAGTGGCTGCTCTCCTCCCTCACCACCTGCAGGGTAATTACCTGCCTGGGAAACAACCCTCACTGTCAGGGCTCTCGCACTTCCTCCCAGCCTCCAAATGTCCCTCCTGAGGGGCTACAAACTGTCCTTCATCCCTCTCAGCCCACCAAGGGGACAGCTTGTGCACCAGGTTTTCCTCCTGGGAGCCTGGGTTTTCCCAGCAGGATCCCACACTGTCTTGGAGAAGGACAGGGGTGTTGCTCATCTCCTCTCCGGGAGTGAGTCCTCGTCCCCCCATTTAATAAAACCAACTCCCTTGCTCTATGCTGAGAGAAGTGGATACATGAATCAGTAGCGCAAGGGTTTCCCCAGACATTGCCTTACTGAGTCTTCAGTGGGTGACACAGACCTCTTTCACAAGGGTAATGGGATCCACTATAGCAAAAGGATCATGTTGAATCTGTGCTGTCACATGCAGCCTCATTTTCAAATTCCGAGTGCCTTCCCAAGCTTAAAAAAAAAGAGAACAGTTGCAAAAGTAACTTCCATACTCTTCCCTCCCACTCCATCCCCTTAAAGATACCTTTTTCCCTTCCAAAACAAGCTCTAAGATACCCAGTATTACAGTGTTCCTTGACTGGTGCAGTTAAAACAAACATCTGTAACCTTGCTTTCACAGAACTGAACACTCAGTGTAACCTCCACTTCTGAAAATAACATATTCTGTCTTGAATATTCTCAGCTGTGTCTCTGGGAAGCTGAATACGAGCTTATTGCCAGACTCTGATTCTAATAAAGTTAATGGAAATTTTGCCAGTGACTTCAAATGGTCCAGATATTATTCTCAGGGCCAACTCCTCTGAAATTATCCCAGTTCAAACTTAGAGCATTTGCACTGATTTCAGCGAGACTAGCCTGGGTTTAGTCATCCAGCCTCAGTGAGATCCATGAAGTCACAGATCAGGATATGGAAGAGCTGCTTCTCGCTCAACCAAACTGCTCTTATTATAGTGCAGGGTGGCAGGTTTGTTCTCCCGCCTCCTTTGATCAAAGTGATGATATGAGTTGCAACCTTACTGTAGGAACTCGTATGTTCTTTTATGGCAGTATAACCTGCCCCACAGTATGCAGACAGGTACGCCATCGATCAGGGCTGGCAGGGGGTACCCGTACCTAGCCATTTACCAATATTCCATGGTCAGTTCTGCAAGATACTCCAGAAGAAGCGGTGTGGGATGCCGTAACCCGTTAAAGAGAACCGTAACGCTTCTTCAGATTTAGAGCAGGTAGCACTCCACCTCTCTTCAGGACAAATAGCCAACACCCGCTACACACATATAGCCAACACCCTGGGGGCAGGAGGGGTGGCCGAAATCCTCCCTTTAACACGAAACAAGCCGCAAGAGTCGCATGGCAGTGGCGGCTGGTGCCGCTGTTCGGCGGAGCGCCGCTCCAGCGCAGCAAACCGATGACAACCGACGGGGCCGGCGCTCCTGAACCTGCTGCTCCGCCGCCCGCCCCGCCCGGCCGCCCCCGCGGGGCCGCGCTACCTGCGCCCGCTCCCCGCCCCGGAGGAGCGGCCGCCCGCCCCGCCGAGAGGCGGGCGCGCTGGTGATTTGCCTTCGCCGCCAGCAGCCGCGCTCCGGCCAGCCCGCGGGGACCGGGGCTGCAGCCGCAGGAGCCGCTCGGTCGCTCTGCTCCCCGGCAGCGGGAAAAGTTTGCAGCTCTTCACCCTGCTCCTTCTCCCCCCATACGCAGCGCCCGCGGCCCGGCGCGGATCCCCCGGGCAGGGGCATGGCGAGCTGAGCGCCCGGCCCGGGCCGGGGGCGGCCCCGCCGCACCTGAGCAGCGGCGGCGGCGGGGGGGTCCGCACCGCGGTGCTCCGCGGGCGGCCATGCGCGGCGGGGGCGAGCGCTGAGCCCCCCCGGCCTGGCCGCCCCCCGCCGGCCCGGGCGATCCCCGCTGCCGCGGGGGGGCAGGGCTGGAGGGCGCTGGGCAGCCCCCGGGGAGAGCGGGGAGCGGGGACCTCGGCTGCCTGCGCCCGGCCGAGCGCCATGCCGCGGCGGCTGGCCTGGCTGTGCTGCTGCTGGGCGCTGCTGAGCGGCGCCTGCCGCCCCGCCGAGCCCGCGCTGCCTGCGGAGGGCGGGGAGCCACCGCCGCCCGCCGCCGCCGCCTCGGGCTTCCTCTACCGGCGGCTGAAGTCGCACGAGAAGCGGGAGATGCAGCGGGAGATCCTGTCGGTGCTGGGGCTGCCCCACCGCCCCCGGCCGCTGCCGCGGGAGGCGCCGGCTCCGCCGCCGGGACGGCTGACGGCGGCACCGCGCTTCATGCTGGACCTCTACCACTCCCTGGCCGAGGGCGCGGAGGGCAGCGCGGGCGCGGAGCGGGGCGGCCGCCCGGCGCCCCCCGCCCCGCCGCCGCTGCCCAGCCCGCAGGACAGCGCCTTCCTCAACGACGCCGACATGGTCATGAGCTTCGTCAACCTGGGTGAGTGAGTGAGTGAGTGAGTGAGTGAGTGCCGGGCTGCGTGGAGCCCACCCAGCCACCCACCCGACCGCCCGTCCCGCGGACACCGCTGTCCCGGCGAGAGGGGGCAGACGGCTCTTCCCTGGTGGGGCGCGGCGGGGACGGGGGTCTTTGCCGGTGGGGCAAACGCACCCTGTGCTTGCACGGGTTTCAGCCGGGAGGGCAGCTCACTTCGAGGAAGGGCAGAACCTCTCGCAAACAGTAAAACAAACAAACAAACAAACCCCAGCATGCAAAACCTTGAAGGGAGGGAGGGGAAAGAAAAGAAAATAATAATAATTTTGTTAATAGTCTCTTTGACTCTTTGATCTTGTTCAGATGGTAGTGGTCAGAGTCTGTCGTTCAGAATCAAACTCTCCTTGCTCTGGTTCCTGGGCAGCAAGCTGGGGTCATGCCAGAGCGCAGGTTGGGCTTGCTCTGTGCAAGGTCCAGCAGCACAGAGATGTCTTTGTGGCTTGAACAAAGCACATGCAGCCTACTCCACGGTGTCCTCATCTTCTCTTTTTTGTTTTCTTTTTAAGGGGATCAGACCTAGTGTGGCGATGAATATGTGACTTAGTGTAGGTTAATCTGGTGAGTGAGCCCAGGAACATGATAAAAATTTGTATCATGCAGAAATCTTGAAATAAGTTCTGTTAGACATCAACCTGCTCTTCAAACAAATCATCCTGTCAGCGAAATACTGATGTGAAGGGCTCCAGGGTGGGCATTTCAGTAGGAAAGCCATTAAGCTTTTCACTTGAAGGAGCCCTTAATACTATGCAATTGTAAGGAAACAGTGTAATTAGATTCAGCCTAATGTGGAGAGTGAAAATATTTCAGTTGGCAAATTGCAGTTCCTTTTTTTAGGGAATTCCTGTGAAGCTCAAATGTCTTAGCTGGTCGGCTGAAGACCGCCTTTTCACCAGTGCTGCCAGAGCTGTGTGGCAGAATGACACCACCTGCGAACAGCTTGACTCGTTTTAAAAAAAACCCAATTTGTTGTGTGTTTACTCATTTGGAGCAGGGATATGCTATTGTAGTAGGAAATTTCTTTGAGCTCCCAGCATTGGTACATGAGTTCAATACCTTTGTGCCTGCTGTATGTATCTAGAACAAGTGCTGGTTGATTTTTTTACCCCATAGAAAGTAGGTCAGAAGTGCTACAAAATGTTGTTAAAAGACTTGACTACATTGAAACCGAGGTAATTGCAACTCGTGTGGGCACAGCTGAACTGTCTTAGGTGCTTATCCCTTACAGGAGTGCAGAGCCCTGTTGACACTACCTAATGCAGGTATGTACCTGTCAGGGTCTCAATTGCCTTGTTTAAAGTTAGCTTGGGAATGTTTAGGTGGTGCTGACATCTCAGAGCTCTGGTGCTTTTGAATGAGACATCCTGAAATCATCCATCAATGAAACCAGCATGGTCTGGGTCTAGCTCAGAACCTGAGAATATTGTACAGGTTTTGAGTTCAAAGGGCACCTGCCTCTGTTCTCCTCTCCTGACCTTACCAAACCTCTCTGTCCTTTGAATACACAGAGCTGTTGCTGCTGTCACTGTTCTTTGCCTTGGGGACTTTTAGAACCTATACTTGGAGCTGTGAATTTAAGAAGTATGGTGCTGGCTGTAGCTGTCTGTAAGCAAACCCCACAGCATGTTTTATTTGAGGGATGTGAAACTAGGTGCTTGCAAGGAGCTAGGTGATTCCCAGAAGAGCTGATTTCAGGAAGAAGTGTGAGCATGTGGTGTTTCAGAAGGTATTTACCTGTCTAAAAAGTGTCAGGAGAGTAGAATTAGATGGTAGACCTAAATGTATGTGTTTCTTTTGAAAACACACCCACCACTCATATAATTTCAATCAGTTCTGATAGTTTGGATCTAGACACTTATGTAACAACAAGGAAAATTTTTCATGTAATGTAGTAAAATAGTGTCATTGAAATGCTAGTTATGAGTCTCAGGAAGCATGAATCAACTGCAGAAATTTCTCATCAACTTCCAAATTCCAAGTCATAAACCATAATGTCATTTAGCGTGATTGTTTGTTACCAGAGTGTTGGCAAATCAATGGGCTGAGACTGAACAGCTGTTTGGCTGTTTTCTGTAGCTTCTCTGACATGCCAGGGATTTTTGGGGGTCTTTCATTTGTGTATTGACATTTCTACTAAACAATAATTCTTGTCAAAAAACTAGAGGAAGCTTGAGGTTATATTCCAATATAAGGAACTGAAGGTGTGACAGGAGAAAGCCAGCCTGCGATCTGTCAAAGTAGCTTGTTAGATGAAGTCAGAAATGCAACAAAAGGTGGTGGGATCACAGCAGACAGGGAAGACTTCCTGGTCTTGAGCACACTGACTATTCCAAAGTATAGATCAAGCAACACTGAAAACCCACAGCTGGGCTCTGCATATAAGCAGATGCTGCCAGAATTATTTTAGTTGGGGTTTTCTACATGTGACCATTCCTATAGTTACTTCTGTTTGCTTCAAACTGAATTCTGAAGAACTTTGTTTTCAGCCTTAAAGACTTCTGTTTCCAGTATTGAAGGGCCCTTGCTGTTCTCTCAGATGAAGAGTGTGTGGTATTACCTGGGTATATCAGGTGCAGGTATATGAGGCTGTGTAGGTGTGAAGTCAGTGTGGGTGACCTGCCTTCAGGTACTGATAATGCTTCTTCTGCAGCACAGAACCAGACAATAGTTGGATCCATCTCATGCTGGAAAGCCATCATCTTGGTCAGCTATGCAGAGAAGTCCTACTTAGTCATGAAAGTTTGCAGGTGTTGATGTTCTTTTAAAAGTGCATTTAATTTTTCCAGCCCTGTAGCCCGAAAGGAGTCACTAGCTTGTAGTCACGGCTGATCTTAAATGCACAGTGTTCAGCCCTTCCTGACCAACATACATCCTTCAGTCTGGGGATACAGCAGATGTGTTTTCTGCCTGGAGAAGGTTGTATTTCAGTATGTGCTCAAGGTGTGAGTCCTGTTTGTCAAGGTCTTGCAAAGCTGAGGGACTTTTGGTGAGGTCTTAGATTATTCAGGCAGTGCAGGCTTATCTCAGTCTCAAACGTGGTGATGTCCTTGGAGAGAAAATATAATCTATCCTTGGTAACCTGGTTCATGTTTTGGGAAGATGATCCTAAAAGCGTCTGCTTGGGGTATTTTCGCTAGGATGAGGCACCTAGAAAGTGCCTGTTCCTTTTCATTTCTCACAAAGGAAGTCTGGATAGCTAGCACATATGGAAACATCTGTGTATTAGATCTCTTTAGTCGATATTCATCGACCAAAAAGGGTACCAAGCTTCTGCGCCATGGGAATGGCTTTACAGCAGGGTTATGGGGATGAGGGCAGGGGGGTGCAATGTGGGCCAGCAGGTGTTTTTGTGAAACTCTTCAGCTCTCCTTTTTGAAACAGCGTCGGTACAAATGTGTGGCATGTCTTGACACAGTACTATTAGTATTTCCAATTTGGATAAGGTACTTTCCTCATGGCACCAGATAGGATTATCTCCTCTTGGCAAAACAACCGAGATCCCTCTTGAGGCAGTGATGCTGGATTGGCAGCGGGATTGTCAAGCATCCCTATATTTTACTACCATTTTAGTGAGAGACATATCAAATTCCTCACAACAACCACCTTCTTCCTCTTTCCAGGGAGATGAGGAGTCACTGCTTAAACCCAGCTGCAGACTAGGATCAGGGGCTGTGGCAGATCTAAAGTCTCCCTGGTCTTCTTAGGCACATCAGTGCTGATATGAAGGGGATCTGCTCTTCATCCTCTGTTTTGCTGGCTGATGTCTTCAGAGCAGTGCGTGCCATGGGTAGCAGCAGAAAACAAGACTCTCAAAGACTTTGCTACTTTAACTGTGTCCAGAATTATTCTTGTATAATTAAAGGTGCTGCTGAGCGATTGTGTGTCAAAATGGGGAAGGAACTTTTTTGGTCCTCACACATGCCTTCCTCTCCTGGCATCCACACTGAGGGGGAAAAAAGCCATGTGCTTCCCACAATCAAAAAAGAGGAATTCAGTGGCAGCCTTTGTGGGTTTTTGCCATGACTGAAATCTGGGGCTGTTGGCAGCTGGATAGCTGTGCAGGAAAACTCTGAACTCATCAAACTCTCCAGAGACAGGCATTGTAAAAAGTGTGCTTTTGGGGTGTGTTGCCTGGTTCTTCAGCTGAGTATCTTTTTGCAGGAGACTAATAGGATGGATTCACTGCATCTTTGTACTTCTGGAGAGAGAGTTTTCCCTTTTGTCATAAGACCCACAGGTCCTTTGGGAGGACTTCATGCAAAAGGTTGAGGGGAAGCTCACCTGTTTGCCAGGCAGTCCTGCAGTGAGCCCTGAAGCTTTTCCACGTGATTTGAGTTGGGACCATGGTGAAAAGCCTCTTTTGTTTTTGAATTCCCAAACTTCAGGCAATTCCTATCTTCCCTTCGAGACTTCAAGTGTCTGCTGGGGCATGGGTGCTCCCTTTCAGTGCAAGGGAGCTACTTGGAGGTAAATGTAGGACTTGCTGTACAAATACTCTCTCTCCCCTTGCCTGTAAAGGAGCACCTTATGGATATGATGTCTTCCAAACAGGCTTTTCTTCTTTTTGGCAGCTGTCGCCCACCAGATTTCCCTCTAGGAATGATCTTGCACAAATCCATAGCACCTTAGGGGCAAGCAATATGCCTTTGTTGTGCATGGCTTTTCACAGGAGGGAAGCAGCGCTTCAGGATCCTGACGTGCATTTCTAAAGCAGGTGAAATTTTTCAGCTGAAGGATTTGATTGGCCACCTGTCTTTTTCTGGGTACCATGCTTGCTGTTGGAAGATATGAAATTAGCTGACCAAGATGTATCAGGGACATTGCATGATTAGATTGATGGGACCGTACCATTCATACTGTCATCCCATCTGTTTATACTCTTGGCCACGTGTTGTAAAGGTCAAGACATCTTCTCACAGGGAATAACCAGAGTGTGTGATGCTGCAGATCTGGCTGTGCTGCCAGCTGGCTGTGTACAGCCTCGCTTGCTCGGCATGCGAGCAGCATCCTCCACGTGTGTCCAGAGCAGGCCAATGTTAGAAATCATGAAGCTGATGATGGGAGTGAGTTTTACTGACTTCTGCAAAATCTTGTAGAGTAGGCTTCAATGCCAAGACAGATTCCCAAGTGTCAAAGAGCAGCCTTAGATTTGCTGTTCAGCTGATGCAGCTCGAGGTCCTCATTTATGTCATCTCCTTGAAGTAGTTGTTGCTTGTGAGCTGCCTGATGACATGATTAAAAAAGGGCAAATGGTCTTTTAGAAGTCCTTAGCTCCTCTGGACTTGGAATTTGGGGGACTGTAGTCATCCTGCCTTTGGCCAGCAGCCCTGGAAGATGTGTGGCCCCTGGAGAAGCTGTTCTTCAAAACCTTTACTGTTGAAATGAGTGGAGGGTCATGTTTTTGTAAGCAATGTATCCAGGTCTGATTGTCATCTGGACTAAGCTACTGGAACCAGACTGTGTGGCATTAGTAGGAGTATTCTCTGTCTTGTGAAAGCTTTTCAGAGCTTGAAAATTTACGGTCTTAAATTTGTGTGAAATGTTCAAGTCTTCCTTACAGAAACAACAAAAATTTATTGTAATTGTAAAAAGCTAGTACTGCCAAACCAGTCTGGATTAATTCAAGCCAATTTTTTTTATCTGTAAATAACTGAAAAGTTGCATTTTGAATTAGAAAGCCAGGTGTGGGGTTATGGGGGTTTTTTTGATTTTTTTTTTTTTGTTTTGTAAAAATAAAAGCAGAACTTCCTAGTTGTTTTCCTCAAACAAAATTGAAATTAAGCCACTTCTTAGAAGAAGGTTTTCTTTTGGCAATTTTCTTCCAGCTCAACACAGCTTTAGCAGAAAATCCCTTGGGCAGCTGTCATGGATGTCTTGTGCTGAGCTCCTGCTGGGACTGCTTGCTGCAGGTTTGTACCTCTGCCAAGGAGCTGCGGATCCTTGCTGGGTCTAGCCCGGTGCATTGCAGTGATGACACTCTCTCTCATAGTTTTAAATATAAACTTTTAAGTGGTGTTTGTGATTTAGGAGG